TCCCAAGCCAGTTCTTAACCATTGCGCCACTCGGCTGGTCCCGCCATATGTTGTTTTGATTGAGGTACATGAGGAGAATCCTAGGGCCTTTTGGATCTTTTGCAAGGATCTGGGGAACCCTCAGGGGTCACACTTTAAGAACTGATATTTCCATACAAGTTTCTTTGCTGCTCCCTCCAATTTGGTGTCTTCTGCATTGATCACAGTAGTTTTCTCATTCCATATTCCCTCCCACCTTCCATTTTTGTTTTTTGCCATTTCCTACCTTATATTCTACTCCAGTTTCAGACTGATCTTCAAGTCTTCACTAATGAGTCTAGTCTCTGTGACTCTCTCTTCTCTAAAATCTATTGGCAAATAGAATTAGTTCCACATAATTTGTACTTAAGTGTTCTACGCTTTTTTGTGTTTTCTCTTTCTGTTACATTGTTAACCTCCTTTTTAAAGCAGGGACTGTAAAAATTGACAAAACAAAACAAGAATTTCTCCTTATACACAGTGTTAGAAACAAAGTAATATTTGTTGGCTGATAGGAAGTAACATTCTCCAGGAAAGCACATACACATAATGAATTCTTTTTTGGCCTTAAATGGTTTATTGGAAAACTGTAATATCTACCCATTATCAACTACATGGTAATACTTTTGGTATTACAAAAAAAATTTTTTTTTCCAAAGGTTTTATTGGGGAATTGGGGGAGGGGAACAGCGGCTCTTGGCAGCTCATGCCAGCCGCCAGCCGCTCACGGTAGCTTACGGGAGCCCACTGCAGCTCCACTGCAGCCTACGCCGGGTGACTCAACAGCAGCCCAGCTCCAAGTTGAACTGTTGTTCACCATCTTAGCTATAGAGGGTGCAGCGTCACTGGCCCTCATGTGGGATCTGAACCGGGTCCCTGCTGCTCAGAGTTGGCGTCCCAAGCCAACTCCTAACCAACGCGCCACTCGGCTGGCCCAGTAATACTTTTCGTAAAGAGATCTTGTATAACGAAAACCATATTCAGTCAGGCTTGTTGTTCTCTTAAGCCACTTATTGACTCATTTATTTTCTTAACATTTCAGAAAAAAGCCAAAGGTCAAGAGCTGTTTGATCAGATTGCGTACCACTTGGACCTTATTGAAAGCGACTATTTTGGACTGAGATTTATGGATTCAGCACAAGTAGCAGTGAGTAGCTGTTTTTTTGAGGTTCCAAAATGGGCAGAAAAGAAAATTTTCAGATGACATAGAATGTTACAAGACTACATATTCTTAAAGCGTTTTTTATTTTTCAATTATAGTTGACATACAATATATTAGTATCAGGTGTACAACATAGTGATTAGACATTTATAGAACTTATGAGTTGTGGGTTTGTTTCTGGGCTCTTTATTCTGTTCCGTTGACCTATGTGTCTGTGTTTATGTCAGTACCATGCTGTTTTGATTACTATACCTTGTATAGTTTGATATCAGGTATCATGATACCTTCAATTTCATTCTTCTTAAGATTGCTGTGGCTATTCGGGATCTTGTGTGGGTTTTGTTATATAAATATTAAGATTATTTGTTTTAGTTCTGTGAAAAATGCTATTTGTGTTTTGTTAGGGATTGCATTGAATCTGTCTAGTGCTTTGGCTAGTATGAACATTTTAATGATGCTAATTATTACTATCTATGGAATGGTATATGCTTCCATTTATTTGTATCTTCTTCAGTTTCTTTTCTCAGTGTCTTATATTTTTTCGAGTACAGGTCTTTTACCTCCTTGGTTAAATTTATTCCTAGGCATTTTATTTATTTATTTATTTATTTATTTATTTATTTATTTATTTATTTATTTATTTATTTATTTTTGATGCAGTTGTAAATGGGATTGTTTTCTTAATTTCTCTTTCTGACAGTTCATCATTGGTATATAAAAATGCAACTGATTTCTGAATATTATAATTTTGTTCAGAATTGCATTGAATCTGCATATCCTTTGGGGTTAGTTGTCCTTCAGTCTTAGTTGTGGAGGGCGCAGCTAGCTCAGCTCCAAGTCCAGTCGCCATTGGCCGCCTATCGGCAGCTCAGAGCAGCTCAGCTCAAGGTGCCATGTTCAGTCTTAGTTGCGGGTGGGCGTGTCCCACCATCCCATGTGGGACTTGAACTGGCAACCTTGTTGTTAGGAGCACGTGCTGTCACCAGCTGAGCCATCCTGCCACCTGTTGGCAGCTCAGCTGGGGCACAGCTCACTGGCCCATGTGGGAATTGAGCTGGCTACCCTGTTGCTCAGAGCTCGTGCTCTTAACCAACTGAGCCATTCAGCCAGCCCAAGTATTGCTATTTTAACAATGATAGTCTTATTCATGAACGTGGAATGCCTTTCCATGTATTAGGTCTATAAATTTCTTAAAATGATGTTTGATAGTTTCAGTTTATATGTCTTTCACCTCCTTGGTTAAATTTATTCTTAAGCCATTTATTTCTTTGATGCTATTTTACATGTAATTAAAAAAAATTTTTGTATCCTGCTCTGCTACTTTACTGAATTCATTTATCTGTTCTAATAGATTTTTAGTGGAATTTTTTGGGTTCTCTCTCTATGTACAGTATCATATCATCTGCAAATAATGACAGTTATACTTCTTCCGTTCTTACTTGGATACCTTTTATTTATTTATTTTTCTAGGATTGCTGTGGCTAGGACTTCTAATATGATGTTAAATAAAAGTGGTGAAAATGGGTGTCCTTGTTTTGTTCCTGACCTTAAGAAAAATGCTTTTAGCATTTTCCCATTGAGTATGATGTTAGCTGTGGGTTTGTCGTATATGGCCTTTATAATGTTGAGGTTTGTTTCCACTATACCCACTACGTTGAGAGGTTCTTTTTTTTTAAATTAATTAATTTATTTTTAGCTGAGCCATCCTGCCACCTGTTGGCAGCTCAGTGGCAGCTCAGCTCAGGCTGTGAATCGAACCGGCAACCCTGTGGTTCAGAGCTTGCAGTCTTGAGTGAGTTCTTAACCAACTGAGCCACTTGGCCAGCCTGAGAATTTTTATTATAAATGGATGTTGGGTTTTGTCACATACTTTTCCTGCTTCTATTGATATGATCATGTGATTTCTATCTTTTATTTTGTTTATGTGGTTTATCATATTAATTGATTTGCAGATACTGAACCAACCTTGCAATCCAGGAATAATCATGATCATGTGTGTATGATCTTGTTAACATTGCTGAATTTGGTTTGCTAATATTTTGTTAAGGATTTTTGCATCTATGTTCATCAGGGATATTGGCCTATAATTTTCTTTTTTTGTAATGTCTTTGCCTGGTTTTGGAATTAGAGTAATGGTGGCCTCATGAAATGAGCTTGGAATCTTTCCTTCCTCTTGAAAATTTTGGAAAAATTTGAGAAGGATAGGTGTTAACTCTTTAAATGTTTGGTGAAATTCAGCTGTGAAACAATCTGGTCTAGGACTTCTGTTTGTTGGTAGTTTTTTGATTACTGATTCAATTTCTTTAGTAGTAATCGGTCTGTTCAGATTTTCTGTTTCTTCTTGATTCAGTCTTAGAAGATTGTATGTTTATAGGAATTTATCCATGCCTTCCAGATTGTCCAGTTTGTTGGCATGTTGACAGTTGTTCATGATATTTTCTCATAATCCTTTGTATTTCTCTGATGTCATTTGTAACTTCTCTTTCTGATTTTAGTTATTTGGGTCCTCTTTTGTGATGAGTCTGATTAGAGGTTTATCAATTTTGTTTATCTTTTAAGAGAACCATATCTTGGTTTCATTGTTCTTTTGTATTTGTGGGGTTTTTTGTGTGTGTCTGTATATGGCTATTTTATTGATTTCTGCCTCTGATCATTATTATTGACTTCCTTCTACTCATTTTGGGCTTTGTTTGCTGTTCTTTTTCTAGTTCCTTTAGATATAGGGTTTGATTGCTTATTTGAGACTTTTCTTGTTTCTTGAGGTAAGCCTGTATTACTATGAATTTCCCTCTTATGCCTGTTTTCACTGTGTCCCATTGATTTGGAATTGTTGTGTTTTCATTTTCATTTGTCTCAAGGTATCTTTTGATTTATTCCTTCATCTCATTGCTGACCCAGTCATTATTTAGTAGAATGTTATTTAGCCTCCATGTGTATGTGTGTTTTTTAGTCATTTTCTTGTAATTGATTTCTAGTTTCATTCCATTGTGGTCAGAGAAGACACTTGATATGATTTCAGTCTTCTTAAATTTACTGAGACTTGAAATGTTGCATGTGCAGTTGAACAGAATGTATCTTCCTCTGCTTTGGGGTTAAATGCTCTAAAAATATCAATTAAATGCATCTGATCTTATGTATCATTTAAGGCTGCTGTTCCATGTTGATTTTCTGTCTGGAAGATTTGTCTCTTGATGTCAATGGGTTGTTAAAGTCCTCCTATGATTGTATCACTGTCAATGTCTCCCTTTATGTGGGTCAATATTTGCTTTATATATTTAGGTATTCCTATGTTGGATGCACAGATATTTAAAAGGTTATATCCTCGTGTGGATCGATCCCTTTATCATTATGTAATATCCCTTTTTGTCTCTTATTATAGCCTTTGTTTTAAAGTCTGTGTTGTCTTTTATAAGTACTGCTACTTCAGCTTTTCTTAGCTTTTTTTTTCATTTCATTCACATGAAATATCTTTTTTCGCCCTTTTATTTTCAGTCTGTGACTTTCAATCTGAAGTGAGTCTCTTATAGACAGCATATGTATGGGTCTTGTTTTCTTATCCATAGCTACCCTATGTCTTTTGATTGTAGCACTTAACCATTTACATTTAAAGTGATTATTGATAGGCCAGCTGAGCGGCTCAGTTGGTTAAGAGCTCGCTCAAGAGTGCGAGCTCTGAGCAACAGGGTTGCCGGTTCGATTCCCGGCCAGAGCTGAGCTGCTGCTGAGCTGAAAATAAGTAAAATAAAGTAATTATTGATAGATACATAGTAATTGCCATTTTATTATTCATCTTTATGGGTTTTTCTCCCTTCTTAGAGGAGTCCTTTTAACGTTTCTTGTAATAGTGGTCTGGTGGTGATGAACCCCATTAACTTTTTCTTGTCTGGGAAGCTCTTTATTTGTTCTTTGATTCTTAATGATAGCTTTGCTGGGTAGAGGAGTCTTGGTTGTAGGTCCTTACTTTTCATCACTTTGAATATTTCGTGCCATTTCCTTCTGGCCTACAAAATTTCTATTGAGAAATCAGCCGACAATCTTATGGGAGCTCCCTTGTAGGTAACTAACTGCCTTTCTCTAGCTGCTGTTAAGATTTTCTCTTTGTCTTTAATCTTTGTCATTTTAATTCTGTTTCTTGGTGTGTATGCCTCTTTGGGTTCATCTAGTTTGGGACTCTAAGCTTCCTGTATGTCTATTTCCTTTGCCAGATTAGGGAAGTTTTTTGTCATTATTTCTTCAAATAAGTTTTCAACTCTTTACTTTCTCTCTTCTACTGGTACCCCTCTGATGTGAATGTTGGTTGCTTGATGTTGTCCCAGAGGCCCCTTAAACTATCTCATTTTGTCTCCCCATTTTGGCTGCCTCCCTGTGTTTGTTTCTATGTATTAGGTAGAGCTGCTTTGTCTCCTGGTCTTAATAGAGTGGCCTTATGTAGTTAGTGTAGTGTGGGGCCCATTGGCACAGTCTCCTTGGTCACCTGACTTGGGTGCTCCAGGTGTGTATCTAGTATGGGTTGTGTTTGCCTTTTGTAGTTGAGCCTTGGTTGTTGTTTGCACATCATTGGGAGGGATTGATCCTCCAGCTGATTGGTTGTGAGGACTGGCTGTGACTATAGTGGATGAGGTGTTGTGCAGGTGCTGACCCTTAGGCACAGGATTTGCTTTAGCAGGTCTCTGGTGACTGCCCATCGTGCCCTTTGTATGTGTCATTCTTTGAGGTGGCCGGGTGATGCTCAGGCTTGGTTTGGAGCCAGCCACTGGGTGTGCCGGCCTTCGGGCCTTTTAGGAGGGTCCCTGCTGCAGGTCAAGGTCATCTGCAGCCTTTATCTTGCTAGGGGCCACCTGGCATGAGCCACAAAGCAGTTCGTAGATGACCTCCACCTGTGCTGAGCTGGGAGATGCCTTGAACCAAGGCCAGCTGCTGCCAATGCCAGATTTGGGGCTGTTCAGTAAGAGGTACGGCACAGGCCAACGCCAGATTCTGCGTGT